TCCTAACCCTGAACTCGGAAATGATAAAGCCTAAAACCTCCCTAAAGCCTAACACCCCACCTAATCCAAAAACCTCGATAAACCCAATAACCCTGAACTGGGAAATGACATTTACATAGAATGTTGCTAAAATTATTTAATAGAATGCTATTATGCTTTGTTGTTATGCTCTTCGCTACACAAATGTATTTCAACAATAATATTATTTGTATGTCTAATCTTATTGTAATTTAAATTCTTCATAAAGTTCTGACATAATCATTTTGATGTCGCTTTTGTTTTCATTCTTGCGTAGTATCTTAAGGTCTTGTATAATATATTAAAATAAAGACCATCCAACGATTGTTTTCGGTGTTTCTTCCTCTCATTTCTCTTATAATCATAAAGTGTCTGCACTCCGGATACGGTAAGCATTCATAAAACTTTCTGACTAACTTGTGTAGTCTCTTTGTATGCTTTATAGTTTCATAGCTGTTAAACATACCTGTTATTATTACATCTTTAAATAACATTTCATCTGGGAAGGGATATTCTTTAATGAAATAATAACAATTGAGTTCAAATTTGCTTAAACAGTGATATTCAAGTTCTTTACCCTCATCATCTAAAGCGTTCATTAATCTCTGACATCTTTGGCAACACATATAATCGCTTATTTTTCTACTCAACCCTTCTTCTATCGTAAATATGTCCTTAACAGTGTTTCTTTGTAATAAGCAGTTGTGACAGTTATTTATTTTGTATTTTACCGCTTCTCTTTTTGCTCTTACATCATCTACATTGATGACACCCATTACTCACTAATATATTAAGATATTTTGTCTTTAAATGTTGTTTGTAAAATACAGGTTAATATATATAATACAAAAACTTAAGCATACTCTCTCTTGACACCATCAAATTTAACACCGTAATAGTCCGAAGTTTGTTGTTTAGGTTCTTTTATTTCACAAGTGTTTAATTTATTGACATAAACATTTCTTTTATTTTTGTATGCATCGCTTCCTTTATCCAATGGTTTATTATATTGCTTATATTTATTAGCTAGTTCATCAAGTTTTTATCCATTGTTTTTAATTTATCTAATATCTTTTGAAATC